GTTACACATCACGCACACAACATACACACACACATGGAATTCTTCATTTTGTTATGACTTGTGCTTGATGCATGTGGAGCATAAGATATGAGACGGACATGTCGGACTGTCTCCAACTCTTGATGTTTTTACAGCTGTCTGTGTAAGGGGTTAGCCCAAAATCTTATAAATGTATTAGGCTCTGTGTTTCCGGGGTCTCCTTTCTTCCAGCAGTTGTCTGGAGCAGGAGCCACCCGGGTTTGTGTTTCTGTAATTTTTTATTGTGGCTTTCAAAATAAATCAGCACTAAAATGAAGCAAGTCGGACTCCGTCTTCATTCAGATCTGTTCAATAAAAGAACTGGGGTATAATAGATGGTCAAGAGAGCTGGGTCTGTTCTGGGCTGCCCCCTAGACTCCATCGAGGAGGTGGTGGACAGAAGCATGCTGGTAAAACTAACATCCGTCATGCATAACCCCTCCCATCCCCTGCACCACACAGTGGAGGCTCAGAACAGTTCTTTCAGCACAAGATTGGTACATCCTCAGTGCAAGAGGGAGTGTTACCGTAGGTCATTCCTCCCTACAGCTAGCAGACTGTACAATACATCATTGCAGTGATAAACTAGGTGAAATTATGAGGGACTATGCAATGGTAAACATTGCAATACTCAAATCCTGGGTGAAATGCATGGTTAATATGTACATATGTAAATTCTGTTCTTGATTTTTCTCTTGAATAATTTATGCTGTCTTAAAATCCAGAATTTGTTTATAAAGATATGTGTGTGGTGATTGTTCTCATGGTGTTATGTTGTTTGTTCTCTATTGCTGCTGAAACACTGAAATTTCCCCATTGAGGGATCAATAAAGTACCTACCTACCTATTAGATAGACTTAGTTTTAGTTAACTTTGACAGTCGGTGCTGTGTAGTTTATGTAAACCTCAGATGAGTCAAATCCTTGAGGGACTGTGAGTTTATGCTTCCAATTTAATCTTAATAGAACAAAGCTATAGTGAGATATTGACAGTGTGGTGGGTGCAAACCTGCTCTAGACAGGAACAAAGTCATGGCCCCTGACCCGGAGCCAGACTCCAGCACATGGTCTCCCTCTGTGATGTCCATCAGCAGCAGCATGGTGCATGCATCCTGGGACATCAGGGATGCAGAGAGACAGAAACAGTACATAACAAGAACAAATGATAAATATGACCCTGAGACACATGCATTTGGGACTGTGACATAAGTAGTGTACCTTTGGGTAGGCAATGGCTGGCCCCCTCTTCATATGCAGCACATAATCCTCCAGACTGGCACGATGTATGAAGATAGGAACCCCCCCATTCGTCTTCAAGAACCGACCTGCAGACTGCCCAGCTATGTCATCATGTAGGATAATCCCCCGGGAGATGTGCAAATGAGCCCCTTCTTTCAGCTGGAACATCTTCCTGTAGTCCACCCATCCCTTACGTGGATACTCAGCAATGAGCAGCTCCCCGAATGCAAGCAAGCTGTCCCCAGGGAGAGTGCCCGATGACCTCCTTTTTAACTCATGGAATGCTTCATTTAGATGAGTTTCTGTTGCTGCATCCCCTGCACAATGGACCTCTGTATTATCCTCTTTAGGAATTTCCTCAAGCCCACTTTCTTCTTGTGTGCAGTGTGTGACAGACACATGG